AAATGCCCTGCAATGCATAGAATAGTCCACAACAAAAAACTACCCAGTCCATAGTGTAAACAGACCCAAGGCTGGAAAACCGTCCCGGCAGATCCGTGAGGTATGGAGCTAGTTCTAGCTCAGATACTGTTTATCTCTCTCCAGCTAGGTTTCCTTATCTCTGAAAACATCACCGGGGAGCAGGGTGGAGTAGGAGAGAGAAAATTCAGATTAGATTAAGGTTACTCTCATTTCTAAAATAATACTTTTTCTTGCTGATTATCCATCATTCAGTCATATCATTGCTCAATCTCCCTACCTCTCTCTCTCTCACACACACACATACATATACATACACATCCATCCACACACACACAGTGTGATACACTTAAATTTTGTTAGGCATACTGTCATTGAATACAGACTACATTGAGATAGAAATGGGGAAAACAGGAAAGAAAAAGTGTTCAGCTTTATTATTAAACAGAATTGAATTTTCAAAAACTATTGTTCAGCCAAAATATTTGACTTTGCAAGCACATTTTCAAAGAACAGCTGTCTGAGTCAAAACAGAGTGCTAAGATCCCTAAATAGAGCACCATTCTCATCATCCCTCCAATGATATTCATTGACTGGTTAACATAAGTCTGTTACAATGTGAATGATAAAAGCTGAGCATCAGTAAGGAAAGACAGGTCCAGATACACACTTACAGTGTGATGTGAAGAGTAAGACAGGAAGATTCAGAGAGAAGCAAAGGGGTGGGGTCGGCGGACAGACTGCACACTTATTTTCCAGTGCTGAGAGAAAGATGGAGGGGGGTATCAGAGAAGGCCTGATACTTTTCTTCAATCTTAAAGGATGAGTAGAACTTTTCACCAAAAGTGAAGTGAGTTGGGAGCATCTACAATAGATGGCACAACATAATTTACAAAGGAGCCTTCCATGCTGTGTAACTCACTTCTTTTAACATGTCTTATCATTTATAAACTGGGAAAAATAACGCCTTTCCTGGATAAAAGGGAGTTACAAAGATCAAATGAGGCATTTTTCTAAAAACAACACTTGCTAGTACTGATAACATCGCTAACTTTAAAACTGTTTCTCATTATTTTTAATATTATATTTATAATATCCATATATAATAACCTAACAGCATAATTATTACAATCTCCATTCTACATATGAGAAAACTGAAGCTCAAGGAGGAATAAATTTTTCCTAAAGTATGAAATAAAAGAAGTGGGATGTTAAAACTATATTCGATATACTATGTCTTGATGCAAAACTGTAAAGTATGACACACATATGTGTATATAAACATATACATATATGCACTTATACATACATATGAGAAAGAGAGGCTTTTCCTCTTATCCTGAGGATTTTCAAAAAGATTTGTATTTCACTCACTTTCATGCCTCAAGTTTAAAATTCAGGCTTTTTGACCTAAGTAATTGAGCTAACTTTTTTTCTGGACAATTATCAAGCTGTCTTGGGTATTATTAACAGCATCCTAGTTAATTAATGCTTTAACCTAGAATGTCACTGAAACTTTATTTGCCCTGAAACCAGACATCCAGCCTTAACATAAACTGCATTGCCAGAGGACACTGAGTCTGTTGTATTACTTCATTTTCCAAAGGTTCCAGAATCACCATACCAAGGCCAAGGCTGTCAGGGTGCTCCTCCCTGGGGAGCTGGCCTATTACAGCTTTGGGGAGTCTTCTCATTGTCTTCTGAAGGAATGTTTCCAACAGCAGTTACAGCCATGGGAATTTGCATAGGCCTATATTCAGAGTGGAGACTGACAGATGAGAAGACCACACCTAAATGTATAGTCTCTTTAAAGAGAATTTCTCACATGACATTTGCATCTCCTGGGTGATCATTCACCAGGACATGGGAGATTCCTGGGCAAAAATGAACAGAAGACATTCAAATTCAAGTTTTCCAAAGTGACTATGGGACCACTGCACTTTTTTTTTAAAACCACATAAGTAGGTCTATTTTCTCACTGTTAATAAAGTATGCTGCAGATTCCACCTTGATCCCTTGTCAACACTACATTCAATTCACAATATTGTGAATGATCCAGGGAATAAAAAATATGTGGGTTTCCTTCTCCTTGACTGCTTTACTTAATATACGTCTAGGAAACTATAAAAATAGAAACAAAGGTCTCAGTCAACTGACGTCAATGATTGCTTCATATAAAGTCATTTCCTAGGTATTAAAAAGGCTGAATATAGGTTAAGTAAAAATGTAACATATCTGAGCAGAGCTTAAAGAAATAATCTCATCTTTCCTGTGCCTGGTTTTTTAAGTGATACCATCAGGTACCATTTTTGCACATATGCCAGTGCCCATAACAGGTCCTAGACACTGTAGCAACTCCCACACTACTCTAGGATTTCTCTATTAGAACCAGTTACTTTATTATGTTCCTGATAACTAACTCTGAGAACCTCCGGCTCTTTACACATTGACCCAGAATGACCTTGACATTTGCTGTCTCTAAGTCCTTGTAAGGTATCTGACATCACTGAGCCTTGGTTTCTTCGTTTGTCAAACTGGGCTGATCATCTCGACCTCGTATAGTTATTTTAAGGAGTAAAGGATACATGGAAAACACCCCTCACACAAAACGGTTAGTTCACAGGAGGCATCTGCCTCCCCAGAGCCTGGATTTGGGTCTCAGGGTTGAACCACACAGTCCAATTACCCAAGTTGCTTATACGGCAAGATGATGCGGAAGGCAGCTAGGGTGCCTGGGTCAAAATCCAGACCGGAGAGGCCTGTCATCGTGTTTCTGCCCGTGATGTGTCATCTCAGCCTGTGCCAACACCAGGCAGCTCATAAACTCTCAGGGTCAAAAGGAAAGCTCTAAGGCGAGCCATTGCCTCACTGAGATCTATGCTTCTCAGATTTCAAGAAAGCATGTTTATTCTGTCAACTCTCTATCATTGTGCAATGAAGTATGGATAAATTGTCTTGGATCTGTCAGTCAGGAGCATGCTCAAAAGCCCATCGAGGTATCCCTGAGTATATTTGATTTTTAGATCAAGAGACCCTAAACATTAATTGCAGACTCAATATAAAAATTTTTCCTTTTTATTCGGGAACAGTCAATACCAAAAATTTATAAAATGTAAAAGTGACCAAATGATTGTGGAGTGTGTGTAGCAATTTAAATCTGCATGTGTTGGAGGCAGAAGATGGACATGAAAGTGTCTGTATTTTTTTCCACAGACATAAATACATATAAATTCCACAAAGAAAGGCAATAATAAAATGTTTGCTGAAAACTCGAATGAATGTCTCTTTTCCTTGAAGGATAGATATTTGGGGAAAGTATTTCTAGGTAATCTTTAGTTTAGGGGGGAAATGGCAATCTCAGAAAGAACAGTTGGCCTTGCCTTTTTTCCATGTGCTTTGGAATAAGACTATTGGACTTGCATACCTGAATAGAGTGTAGAGATATGATACAGAACTTCAAACAGGAACTTTCCTAGTGGCAGAGAAATACCTAAACAAACTGGGAAAACAGAAACTGACCGAGCTCATTTAGAAATGGGCTTGGCAGCTGATGAAATAGGTGAACTATAATTAAGTAATGCAATAAAGGAGTTAAGCATTTTTATGACAACAAAAACACACACAACACATAAGCTAAGTGGGTAGTAACCAGGATATTCATAGGATCTTGATGTCTCAAATTAGAATACTCAACGAGTGGCCCAGAACAGACACATGCATTGTTCAAAGCAACCTTACAGGTGGGGGAAAAAGTGTAAAGCTATTCTGACCTCTAGGTTGACATGTAACTCTAGGAAGACTTCATAACAAAGATAGCAAAGCCACATTATTTACTGAGAAACTCCTAGCAAGTTATTCTCAGAAGTTTTGGTAGAAACCACAGATCCTGTTCCCACCTATGTTCTTGAACTTGGACAAGTAAGTTACAAGTATGCATAGTATGCATGTCATTAGGTCTCCTAACCCCTAAGATAAGGTGTGTCGAAATAATAATTTAACTGTCACATCCTGCACAGGTAGAGTTAGGGGAATTCGCCTCATTGCAATCCCAGAAATAACACGAGATTGGCAACCTTTATTTCCTTAGGAAAATTTTCATAACAGCTCCAAACTCTTCTTGAAGTTTAGGAATTATCAAGATTTTTTTTTCAAAACCAGTAAAGTTACAAAAGGATTTTTTTCCTCTCTGTCAAAACAAAACAAAACAAAACAAAACAAAACAAACCCACCCTGAATTATATCGAATAAGGCAGGCATTAAAGTACGCTCAGCCACTCCAGGCTGCGCGCGCGCGCGTGTGTGTGTGTGTGCGCGCGCTCAACCGTGTCCACTACAGGCTACAGAGTGTAATTAACAGCAAGTGATGAGCGCGCGGCTCGCGGGGGAGGCGGGCGGGGGACCGGAAGCGGCAGGGCCCGCGTGTCCCTGCAGCTCTAGGTGAGCGAGCAGCGTTTCCACCCGTGGAGTCCGGAGCTGCAGCGAAGCCGGCGCCGGCGCACGCCAGCGCCCCAGGAAGCTGAAGCCCGCTCAATTTAGAAAACTAAAGGCCAGGCGGGAAGAAACCGCTTTTCTTTCCCAAAAGTCTTTTATAGGCGCGGGTCTAGTCTCTACTCCCGCCTCCTGTCCCCGCCCTCAGCCCAGTTTTTCCTTGTCTTTGGATTTCTTAGAACTGTCAGATTTTCCTAAGGGGGGGGAGGGGGGGAAGTATTTCCAACTTTTTATTTCTCCCAATACGGAGCTGTATTAATTCACGCAGAACACACAGCCCAAGTTCCTTGATCAGCGAAAGGCATATTGAACACCGCTGCCCGCTCCCCTAACCCATCCCATTCCATCCGCGGCGGGAGGGAAGGACCGGACTCGCCACCTAAGGAGAGACGTGGTTGGAAGTGGAGGACGCTGGAGTCGGGTGGAAAGTGACAAGTGCCCCCCGGGCCGCCCGAGTCTCGTCCTCTGCGTCGGGCAGGGGGCGGGGGACTCACCCAGAACGAGCAGCAGCGTGGGGACCCGGCGGGCGCGGCGCGGCTCCATCCTCCTCCTGGTGAGCGTGTGCGGGGGCGCGCGGGGCACGGGGGCTGCGGCGGGCTGCGGGAGGCGTCCGGCTGGGCGGCGGCGGCTGGAGCGACGGGGGCCCACGCGTCCCTGGGACACCCGGCCCGTGTCTGGCAAGTGAACTCCACGGCCGCGCGCTGCGACCTTTATTAGTCTGGGGAGGGGCCTGAGTACTCACGAGAGAGCGGGGTGAGGTACACAGTGCCCGCAGTTTCATAATCGGCCCGGGGGAGGAGGGGCCGGAGGACGGTCCGGACGTCATCCTCCCTCTCTGAACACCTGAGAGGGACCGAGGAATGAGAAAATGCCCTTCTCGTGAGCCGGGGACTACTCCCCAAACTTTTCCAGCTCCCTCCCTGGCTCCTGCGGGAGGCGCTGGGGAGCGTGGACCAGATGGGTTGGTTTGTGGGGTCACCTGCCTACCGGATAGTGGGTGGTTTGCGTTGCTCTGGGTGACGGGCGTTAGTTAGCTTGAGTCAGTCTCTCGGCCAGGGCTGGAGCTCCCAGTTCGTGCTTTTGGAAAGCTGCGTGAGTGTGTGATGTGTTAGTGACTTATGGACGTTCTTGAAATTTGTCTGTGGCTCCTTGTATTCACACCCGCCACCGTCCAGAGGTGTGTCTCTGTGTGTGTCTACCTTTCCTTTGCAGCCCCTCTGCTTCCAGCCTGCAGCGAGCATTTAAGGCTTCCAAATGTAGTGATCATGCAGAAAAGCCCCTATATGATGCTTCCCCCATCCATCAGCCTACTGCTGTGAATTTAACTTCCCTGAATTTTGCCTTAATGCTGTCACCCTTCTGTACAAAATCTTTCAATGACTTCTCATTGCCTTTTGGAGAAGGCCAGACACACTTGTGAACTCAACAGACTTCTCCACTTCAACTCCTGCTAGTTCACCAGACGAGATGTCTAGCCGCAGTCAGGCTGGGCAACTAACTCACTCTGCCTTTCCTTATTCCCGCTGTCCTCCCTGAGCCAGCGGAGTCCCAGTTTGGAGAAATGGAGCTGGTCAAGCCTATTCACTTTCATGTTTCTCCTCAAAGGCCTGGATTGCTGGGGCCTCTCTCTCCATTCTGATCTGTCACAGCTTGTGTTGTTTATCTTTCCCCTAGGCTAGATATAGAATGGTAGATGATTACTTTACACCTGATGAAACTACTTTGAATTAACTTTTCTTGTTTGTCAGTCCTGTCTTTGGGTCTGCATGAATGAATGAATTGCCTTTCTTGTTGTTGAATTTATCCTGTAGGTCCTAAAAACAGTGAATAAATATAGCAGTACTGACAGCATATGCTGTGACGTGTTTAGTTGTTCAGTTGTGTCCGACTCTTTGTGACCCCATAGACTATAGCCCACCAGGCTAGAATCCATGGGGATTCTCCAGGCCAGAATACTGGAGTGAGTTGCCATGTCCTCCACCAGGGGATCTTCCCAACCCAGGGATCAAACCCAGGTCTCCTGCATTGCAGGAGGGTTCTTTACCAGCTGAGCTACCAGGGAAGCCCGAACTTCCCTGACATATTGACAGCATACTTGAATAGAAAATGAAATCTAACATGTTGATAACTCCTCACCTTTCTTTTATCTTCATGTTATTCCTTTCCTTTTTTCTTTCTTCCTTTTTCTTTTTTTCTTTCTTCCTTTCTTTTCATTCTTCCTTCCTCCCTCCCATCCTTCTTTCCTACTCATTTTCCTTCATATCAATGATGTCGTTTACTGATGTTGGAAGCAAATGTTTCCTGTTTCCCTCAGTGGTTAAGATCTTGGGTTCTGGATTTAGATTGTTTGCATGTGAATCCTTGGACAAGTTTTTTAACCACTTTCAGTTTCCTCGTATGTAAAGTAGGGATACTAACAGTATCTAACTCATAGGAATATAGTGAAAGTGCTTCCCATAGCGCCTAGTACGGGAGTTGGCACGCATTAAAAATGCCTGTTATGATGTGCAGATGCATGTTAGGATGATGGTCAGTGTTCAGGAGCTAAGTGAATGAATGTATGGTAGGGTACAAGTAGGGTTACCTATGCCTCAGGAGTTCCTGAGTTTAACTTCTGAACCCAGGAAGGAAACAAGCAGGAAGTAACTTGTCAATTGCTCTTTTCTAAAAGAATAAATGGAGCCAAGAAAGATAATCCCGGAGGTGGGTTAGCTTTATGGAACGTTGCTAGAGATCACAAATTTGGTAAATTAGAATTGGGAAAAGGGACAGCTGGTTCATGATGGTTTTTGTTTTACAAACTGGATCTGGAAAAGAAATAGCCCTCAAGTGTCTGAAAAGCTAAAGCAGAATTCAGTGGAAAAGAATGAGGGCTCAGCTGGAAGTATGTCATTATTTTGCACAGCGGCCGCTGTCAAGTACTTACAAACAGTGACAGGAAGAAGACTGTCTTAGTCCTAATTTATGTCATATTTCATAAATACAGTGTCATGGTGTGTACGCAAAAGAAGGATGGGGTGGGAACAGATTGGAAAAAATGGGGTCACGTGACAACAGTTAGCTCTTTGGTATTGATATCTGGGGAGGAATTTTTTTCATTTTGTAGCTGATGCCTGCAAGCGGGGGATACCATCATCATGAAAAAATCCCTGTGCTTCTCCCAAAATTTCCACAGCAGTGTGCTCCTCTAAAGCTGATTTCACGTGGTGTGAAGAAATCTTCTCTTTATTGGTTTTATGTTTACTCAATTTTCTAGCCATTAGCTTTCAAGAATGACTCTGTCATGACACATCAGGGAAGACCGGCCGCTGCCTCCGCAGAACAGTCTTGTTTTTTTTTTTTTGATAATTGGGAACCATTTTCATTAATCTTTTATTTAAATGTATAAACATAGTATCAAGCACAATCATAATTCCTCTTAAAGGCCCCCAACACATTTCAGGCAGGACAGTTTGGCAAGGAAACAATCAAGTCGTATAGAATTTTCCAACTGGTAGTAACGTCAAGACATCAACCAGGTCAGCAATTCCCAACCCGAGCGGTTTGGGGATTCTTTCTCAAAAACTTAGTAAATATAAATAATATTTATAGTCTGGTATCTATCTAATAGTGTTTTTTAAATGTATTGAGGATTGTGATTGTTAAAGTGTATTCATTTTAAATAAATAATGAATCCAAGGTGGCTTGCTGGTACATGTATTTTAATTGATACATAACAAACATATTACCTCTGTCAGATGGGGCTGTGTGGCATTAAAAGGGGTCCTCTTAGGAGAATTAGGAAACCCTGGACTGGCATCATCCACACATCCTAAACTGCGTACACAGGCCCTAAACTGATACCAGGTGTAAACCTACTACACACCATAGCCAGATCGAGCCCTGGACAAGACTCAAAAGCTAGCATTTAGCCTTAGACAAGAACAGATGAAACTTCATAATTCTTATCCCATCACTTGTTTCTTTGGGACTGCAACTGGCACTTCTTTATTATGAAATTAATGATTTTCAAACTAACAACAGAGCATACCTACTTCAGTGAATTAGCTTTTATATAACAAAATGTTTATAATTTTTTGTTAGGTAATCCTTAGCAAGAACCGCTGCCATGGAGTGGTATTAGATTGCTTTTTTTAAAAATAATGTATTTTTAAAAATTTATTTATTTTTTAATTGAAGGATGATTGCTTTCCAGAATTTTATCTTTTTCTATCAAACAGGAACATGAATCAGTCATAGGTTGCTTTTTTTTTTTAACAATAAAGGTGTTGAAAAATATAGGAAAGTGTTTGAGATAAAGCTGTTAAATTTAATATACAAAATATGAGTCCTGGAATGTGAATTCTGTTGTGTCATGGTAACTTTTGAAAAAAAAAAAGATTTTATTCTAAATTTAGCCAAATATGAATCATACTTTAGCAAGTTCCACTTGAATGAAGAATTTATGTCTTTCATGATAATTATTTAAATATAGATTAAATAGTATCTTATAAAGTACAAACAAAACACACATTTCCAATCTAAATTCTAGGCTCCATCTTTCCTTGTAGTCTCTGTGGGACTGTGACTGTTTAGCTTTTCTCGTTTTTAAAGAAAAGTATTTATTTATTTGGCTGGGCCAGATCTTAGTTGTGGCACTGGTGTCTTTAGTTGTGGCATGCAATTCTTGTGGCATTGAGATCTCGGTCTCTGACCAGGGACTGAATCCGGGGCCCCCTGCGCTGAGAGCATGGGGTCTTAACCACTGGACCACCAGAGAAGTCCCCTAGCTTTTCTCCTTGGCTGACAATTAACCAACTGCCATGCTTTTTCATTGATTCATTTATTCATATTGTATCCTATTAGAGACAAAATAGAGAAAGGAGGAACTTATATTGAATGTAGTGATCCTCTCTTTATTTAAATATCTTTTATCATAGACTTTTTAAAAAAGTCATTGTCTTCTGGACTAATCCATTCTTATCAGAGGATTAGTTTGAAAATTCAGAAAGGAAAATGTCCTTGTGTTTCTTTCGATATATGCAGAGGTAGAAGAAAGTAAAACTTTAGAGAGCTTTTAAAGTCTAATTAATAGTAAACTATAATTTTTCATTAACTGGCCTGATAATTTGAGTTTTCTTAAACCAAAAATGATTCCAAAACATGTAAAAATTTACATACCATTTGAACAGTGAGTGGTGTGGATGGCTGAGGGATTAGATGAATGAATTCACTAAAAGACAGTATCTTGTTTGTGGTTCTGTTTTGATTCAGAACTATAGGTGGAAAGGAACATGAAAATAGTGGATATTGGTTTTTAAATCTAAATCAGAATGTGCCTAATAATAATAACAGTAGCAACAACAACGGGTAGCATTTATATACCTAACATTTTTAACTCCTTAGGTAGTTTAAAATATAATTGCTTATTTATTCCCCTAAATAAGCCTCTGAGGTGAGTACATTTTTATTTCTATTTTACAGATGAGACTAAGGCAGAAAGATTGAGGAATTTGTTCAAGACCCTTCAGCTCATAAACAACAGGAGACAAAATTCAAACCAAGCAGCCTGACTCCAG